TTTCCTGATATGTGCTGTGCTTCAACATACTGGTAATTAAGGACCCCAAAATGACACCTGTTAAGAGACATGCTTACGAAGCGGATTTCAAACTCAAGGCCATCAGCCACGCAGTACAACATGGGAATAGAGCAGCTGCGAAAACAGTTCAACATAAATGAACCAATGGTACAGAAGTGGAAGAAGCAAGAAGATGACCTGCGCCAAGTAAACAAGACAAAGAAGAGTTTCCGAGGGAACAAAAGAAGATGGCCACAGTTAGAAGACAAAATTGCGCAGTGGACTACTGAATATAGAACAGCAGATGGAAGCGTCTCTACAGTCTCCATTCGATTCAAGACAATAGCGATGGCACGTGACACGAAGATGGACGACTTTCAAGGAGGTCCTTCTTGGTGCTTCCGTTTTATGCAAAGGCGTCATCTCTCCATCCGCACAGGAACTACCACTTCGCAGCAGCTGTCAAAGGATTGCGAAGAAAAGTTGACCATCTTCCGCACTTACTGCAAGAACAAGCTCACCGAAATGAAGATCTAGCCAGACCACGTCACAAACATGGACGATGTTCCTCTCAGGTTTGACGTCCCCGTGAACCGTATTGTTGAAAAACAGGGACTTATACTGTACCTACACTCGCCACGGTACGAGAACTCATCCTTCACTATAGTTTTCGGTTGCCAGGTTAATGGCCAGAAGCTATCACCCATGGTCATTTTTAAGTGGAAGACTTTGCCAAAAGAAAGGTTTCCTGTTGGGGTTATCGTCAAGATCAATCAAAAAGGCTGGATGTACGAGGAGAAAGTGAGCGAGTGGCTGAGGGAAGTTTATTTCAGGAGACCGGGGGGTTTTTTCCACACGTTGGATGCCAGAAGGTAAGCACACATTTATCAAGAGAGGGAAGCAACGCCGGGCTAGTTACGCCACTATCTGCCAATGGATCGTCGATGCCTGGGTCAATGTTTCGGTCTCAACTGCCGTCGGAGCGTTCACGAAGGCCGGAATCATCAATGAACAGCAGCGAGACTGACTCAGTTGATGACGAGAGGGATCCGGGCTTGCTTGATGCCGCTATCAGCCAACTGTTAAACTCCGACCCTGAAGATGAGGAATTTTACGGATTTGCAGAAGAGGATTGGTTGAAAAAAGGAGTGTATTTTTCTGTTTTAAATATATTACAAGTACACAATATTGCCAGTCATTGTTAATGGGTTGAATTAAGTCTGACCTATCCGACTATTTGTCTCGCTTTATACGCCTTATAATCCGGTGCGACTTATGTATGAAATTAGATCCGTTAACTGATACTGCTCCTTATAATCCGAAAAATACGGTATGTTTATGAAATCCCCTGATTTTGCTTTTATTACTGAGACAGCGGAAATTAGTGACTCTCAGCTTAACATCTTAAACTATAAAATTTTCCGCAAAAATCGCTCGCACATAAATGGGGGTAGCTGTGCCATATACCTTCGTGATAATCTGACTGCGGTTCCCGCAGATCAAACTGTGCTTAATAACTTGGACGATACACTATGGATGATGATCCCATCTACTGATGTAGTGGGTTGTATCTGTCGACTGCCCCGAGCCACTCAATGTGAAAACCCCAAGCTAATCAATATGATTAATGCTACCTCCAGCACCACCTACAAGTCTAAACTTATGTATGGAGATTTCAACCTACCACATGTTAACTGGATGCTGCCTACCAAGAAACACTGTGGGAATTGAGGAAATAAACACATGTATCCACCTCAATGGCTGTACCCAGCATGTTAGAGAGCCAACCAGAAGCGCCGCTACCCTAGACCCTGTACTCACGATAGGGATCTCTTTCGCCTGTGGGGTCATGTTTAATTCACTACCGGCTTCTGATCACAACACGATGTTTTGTGATCTGACTACTGAATCACCTAAACCACCAAGTAATATCTGATCACCTATTCGCAACCTCCATCGTGTAGACTGAAACTCACTTAATGAACTTATCTATACCATGAGCTGGATCACGTCATTCCCAACTCACAACCCTACTCTGGTGACAAATGAGTTTACTAACAAAGATCCCCTTGGTGTGGGTCTACTGACGCCTATCTTATGCAAAGCGCCTACAAACCTAGTAGTTAACTCAAGCCTCTATACTAAGCCAAAACCAAACTGCGGAAACTTGATTCACTATATCGCAGGAGCAACAGCTTCACAACTTTGCTACAGATACACGAGCCTCTGCTACAGGTACAACGTCTAACCCAAAACGGACAAAATCAAGGAAGAAAGTTAGGTGCTTAGGAATTCTGAAAATGTACGTGCATTGATGCAACTACTCAGAATAAGGAACCCTGAACTGTATCAGGAAATCGAAACGTTGGCTCTGGACAATGGTTCAATAACGCGCGACATCTGCATATACTACGCTATCAACTCTACTTTTGCCTCCTGATTCGTCCCTAGCACAGTAGTTTCACCCTCCACGAAGAACGAACGAGCTACTCTGTAACATTCCTGTGGCGTTAAGAGAGGTGCAAGATGCCATTACAACCATAAAACTATCAACTCGTCCAGGCCCAGATGGTACCTACCCAACTGTTATGAAACTCGGTGGAAAAAACATCTCTGTACTGTTGTTAAACGTCTTCACACTTTCTCACTACCAGCTGCTTCCCATCCCAATGGAAGCAATCCACTATAATGCCTGAGCACACGGGTGGCCCGAGGAATCAAGTGTCAAGCTACCGCCCAACAAATCTCACCTATGCTGCTTCCAAAGCCCTAGAGAATTTGGTCAAGCTTATTACACAATCTGATCAATCCCTCACAACATAACTTTCTCTCAAAATGCTCTTGCGTCACCTGTCAGCTACCATTCTTCGGTCGTATCACGACTATGATAGACAGATTAACGGCAATCATTATATTGCTGTTGGACATGCAAAAGGCGTTCGACCGCGTGCCGCACAAGCCACTACTGGAGTCATATGACATTGGAAACCCTCTGCCAACCTGGTTCGGCTCATACCTAAATGATCGAACCCAGATAGTCTACGACAAAACAAATAACAAGCGGCGTTTTCCAGGGAAGTGTGCTCGTATCACTATATTTCCTGATCTACGTAAACAACACGCGACCCGGTGAAACACGGACGCCCATTTCTGTTTACGGATGACCTCAAACTGGTCTACCCATTGCATCCATACCAACTACCCATATGTCTAGGAGGTATCTGTGAGAAAGTATCCGCCCTATTCATAGTTAGTGACCGTTTGTTAATGAAATTCTCCGCATTAAACTCCCAAGTAATTAGGTACAGATGCCGCCTCCGGATGGCTGTCTCACACTTGTCGGAGATGTGATCCAGAAATTTGGTTCAGTTCGGGACTTAGGGATTAGGTACTCCAACTCTTACAATTTCTCCGAACATGTGCTTTACCAGAGTACAAAAGCGACGCAGTTATGTGGATACATCAACGAAACTTTTCCTTACCTGAATCACGACTGCAGTCATTCAAAATAATCGTATCACCGCCTGGAATACTGTACTATCGTCCACAGCCATTTAAGAAATAACGACAGAACAGTCCTGGAAAATGACCAAGTTTGTCATAGGGCGCTGCTCAAAACTGTTATTATTGTTGTGTTCCCAGGGGTTCGACTTAGCAGCTTCTTAGATTGCGCCACGCGAGTCAAAAGATAACGCACCGGACGAGAAGTATATTTGCGGAACACTACACGGGCCGACGTGGGTATGAAAACATTCTGATTACAGTTCAAATCACGGCTGAGTGCTATTTTGAATTTATCGATCTCAAAGAGTCACGAGACGTGTGAGTGGTATGAAACAAGCGGTAGTAACAAATGTTCTGCAACACAGAAAAACTCTAGTCTACTTGTAACTGCGACTGTTCTGATACATGACAAACGGTTACTTGGGGAAATTGCACACTTACCTTCCCGAACAAGTCAATTTGTTTCGTTTCTGTGCGCATTTGACTTTGGTCTGACCTGACAATTATCATCGCTGTCGACAACTCCAGCAGGATCCTCTTTGTCTGAGACGATTAAGTAACAACCTCTTCTACAACATTGTTAACCAACGAGTTTGCACAGACAACACCGCACTTGAGCAGCTGAGGTCTGCAATCCACCCCACACGAAATGGCGGCTACTTGCTACCCTCAAAGCCGACAAGTCATAAAACTTGATCGAATCTCTTCTTAATGTGATACACCGATTTGTGGAACAAGCTACCCCTACAGATTCGCATGAGTGCAAACCATGTAACATTTCTAAATGCTCTCCAGACTTCTCTCACTATATCATATGTGTTGATCTTTATCTCACAAACTGGAGACATTGATGAACATCTAGCCGCTTACAATCAGATTACTCAGTCCATTTCATTCTTCACGAAACCAAACTTGTGTACGTGCGACCTATAATCCCCATCCTATTATTATCTACTCCTAATCCTCACAAACTAGAAAACGGTGATACAAACATCGGTACATTTCACATATTAGGTGATCGGGTCTAGGATCCGAGGAACAACTCATGATTCGAATTGCTGTTATTTAAATTGATTTTAATATTATACATTTAAGTCGCATAAACCATGAAACCTATTCAGAGTACAAACCATGAAATCTACTCAGTGTACAAATGATCGCTCCAGCTTATGGGGCTGTATACCGCTTGTCAGTAAACATACGAATTTCTTCATTTATTAGTAAATGGCCACCCAAAGCGTTAGAGTAGATCATTAAGGTATGCATACCTTCAATGCGCGTTAAGGTCAGGTTTCGTCTCGATTGGTTTCTGCGTTCTATATACGATCCTCTATAATTGATTGCCTTTGTTATGTTGCAATTCGCATGGTTATTCCGTTCATATTTTTATAGACCTAATGCGTGTCTCATTTGTTTGTTAGGTTTAGTTTAGTGTACATACTGTCAATGAATAAGTACACATTTCGGATGCTTATTCCTAAGTTTGCTTCTTGCAGCTAATCATCTCAGCGCAACCAACCCTTCCGACGTGGACATTAAACTGGAACTTCATAGTATATCAACCAAAGCCACTGACCTAGAGACCGGATCCCATCGGCCTAGCCCACATCACCTAGAAGGTGAGATCTCGCGAACCTATTCCTCATTCATTTATGCATATGATTTTTGTCACCCATTTATGCACAAGGTACTGATGTAGTTGCCTCTGTTTTCCTTTTCACCTCCATATCCTGATATATTTTCTATCCGTTATGCTTCCAGCCACCTACCGCTCAAATTTGCCGTATCGGCTAATTGACCAACCAGGTTGTAAAATCCATGTTAAAACATTTGTATGGCTTGTCTGTATATATGTTAGGATTACTCTTTTTGCAGTTGATCGATTGGCGCTTTGGTCCATGCGTAGGTTCTTATGAACCGCTGAACTCTATCGATAGCCGGTCAAATGTGCTTTTTCTAATCTGCTGTTGTTTGAACCCCCTCTCTTTTCAACAGTTATTGTCGTCATGTACATGTGTATGCAGACCGTTTGCTTCCTCAGATACCTAACCATCTTTCACGTGTAATGTCATTCCGCACATCTACGCGATGGTTTCGATGATCGCTTCCTGTCTTCTTGTCCTCATATCTTTTAGTTTGGATTGGCCCAAACAACTTCATTGTCTAACGCTTTGTTTTTTGAGAAGAAAGGGATCACAGTAATCCCCTACTAACACATTACCATTGTTACACTCAAATTTGTATGACGTGCATTTTATTCATTTCGCTATCACACCGGGCTTTCTAACAGCTTCTGTCATGTTTAATCCGCATTTCGGGCCGCCGTACCTTTAGATTTCTTTGAAATTAAGCGCGACTGCGATTAAGAGCGTCCGGTTGCTTATCCCGTGGCTGTGCTGTCAAAATTCTTTCTTGATGCATTTATCAGTACATTGGAATTATTTGGTAGATATTTCGTTAATCAGTTTCCTTTTTGATTATACAACTCTCCGATCATATTTTGTATAGTGTCTCCTCAAATTTCGGAGTTCAGTTTTTCAACCTTTGCGTTAACTTTACTTCATTTTCCCAAAATAACGAAAAACCACAGTGGTCCCTGTTCAAAAATTGTTGGGCACATGATAAATACTCTTAAATGCTTTGATTATCGTACTAGCTTTCATATTCCCCGCCTTTGGTTACTTGCTAATTTCTGTCGTCCACTCAACGCAGTATTATCCAAACGTGCAGTTGATTGGCCAAAGTGGAAATCGGTCAATGTTCACACATTCCGTTTGGAGGGAAACGAACGATGGCCACCTCACTAGGGTAGGGCGAGGCTGGCCCTATCCTGGTAAGGAAAGTGTTCGTTTCCCTCCAACCGGAATGTGCGTGAGCCTAGTGACTTTTAGCTGCTTTTCACTTTCGCCAATCAACTGCATGTTACATACATTTGTACGCAACTGAATCATTCCACAGTATCATTCCAATTTTGTGCACCAATTGTGGCGGTCTGAGGCGGCCGAAGAAATGTATGACCTCCCTCGATGCAGCTCGCAACCGAAATGGTTTAACTGTGAGCAGTTCTATACCACTTCCGAGTCATCTTAGGCCATACAGGTAGCAACTTAAGCTAACCAGATATCAACTTCATCTGGTTACTCCTTCCGATGAACTAAGTTGAGCCAGGCGACTGTGACATGCGCGCACCGTCGTGTGGCTGTTTCCTTAGCCAAGCGCTGTCGGCCAATGACATGTCGAATGCATAGTAGACAGCAACGTGTACGCATGTATACAGCACGTGGGTGTTTGGGAATCACTACAGCCCGGAGTAGATCGTGTGCGACTTGTCACATGGGCGGTAACGGATTACATGACGGGGGAGGGGGGTAGTACGTTAAGATCTAAGGTCACCCACGGCAGGTTAAGAGGAATCGGGGTCAGTGTATGATAAGGAATTTGAGCGCGATTCACAACACCATTTTAACGCAGCCTGTTATCGAATAGGGTCACTGGCTACTCGCATTCTGACACGGCCGACAATCCGTGTCACTAAGCTAAACCCCAGGCGCTTGTCCGTACGATCTATCGCGTGCTGTGAACACATGACGCGCACCGGGCACTAGGCACAATACGGGTGGCGCATTGAAGCGCGTAGGCCACAGGTTACTTTGGTCACACCGCTAAATCGCATGTGCACCGGTAGACATAGACACATGCACTGGTGAGATGATACCAGCGCAGAAATCTTTCTGGCTTCCTGCGATTGCAATGGCCGACGTATCAACGTGGACAATAAGATGGTAATGCGGCTGACACATGTGTTGTCTTCGTGTTTGCTCTCCGGCTAGCACGCAATGCGCCGCAAAGCAACGTGTACAAGTTACACTGAGTATTGTTTACAGAAGAGTAGCATCGTTTAGTAAGAGCAATTAAGTGAATGCTTAACGAGTCCCGTAGGTTGGTAGGGGGTAGACCACAAAATCCAACGATTATGGTGACACTGCAGTAAGGCGTATACTAATGCTGCGGTGCTACCATGATGTACTATGGGTAGAGAAGTAGTGATGCAAGACGAGGCTGAGAATGAGGGAGCGGCTTACGAGCTCGTTGTATGCAGTCGCGTGCTCCCACAGGAATGCCTTCCTACTGAGGGCAAGTGCGAATGAGTCTCGCTTGTTCCGCAAACAATCAGCGCATCATATCAGATCGTGGGAAGTTCGACGCTGTCCGTCTGGTTATGTATTACATACCACAAAGCCAATGTTTCCGGACATAGAGTGAGTAACCAACCACTTTTTAACCGGAATGAAGTATCTAACGGAGGGTGGATGAACAACCTAGATTACTACTCGCTTCTGTGTGGACTATCATCGACCATTAAGAAGGTGTTTGAGACACCTGGCTGTTGACTGTGTTCGCAATCAGCAATGAGTCGGATGCCTCAGGAAACGGTTCATGGTCCCTTTACTGCTATACTCGTACTGTTCCGGTGCCATAGGTAGTTTGTTGACACACAAAACTCTTGTTATCGGCTCTGGACGGTTCGTGGCATATGTTAAGTCGCCTCACAGCTTTGCTGGTAACGGCTTTAAGAACTAAGGCGTTGGCTCGGGTTACAGAATAGTTAACCGCTTCTCCTACCTGGGTAACTGAAAATCTCCATGTGCAGACAACACACTTGCACATGAATTTACGTAATCCTCAGATCGTTTGCAGAATATATGCACGCCAAACTTATCGGGAGACATAAGTGAAGAAGCCGCGGACTAGGCTGGTGTACGAATTGTGTTTACTGCGCGCGCAGAAGCAGCGCTACTTGTTTGGATTCTAATTAACGACTAATCCTGTGCAATTTAAGTAAAAGCCTCCATACGTTTGTGCAGCCGCGAGATAATCAAACACTGTTTGTTTGACGCAACATTGCATGTTTCCACGGGTTACAGCCCGGACTCAGTTAAAGATGAGTTCTACCGTCAACTATCCGACCTACTCCATAAGAATCATTACAAGTATATGGTGGTTCTCATCGGGGACCTCAGCGCACCGGTTGGTAGGCTCGAAGATTTGGAACAAGATGTCGGTAGTCTGGGTTGCTATGATATTCGCATAACGGCTTAAGAAAGCAAAAGAAAAGCATCAGCAGTATGTCATTACGCAGTACCGATACCATGCTGCCATGCAAGCACCATCGGTCACACATGGACTAAGGATGCTTCGAGAGTCGCCCGGTCCCGAAGCAGGCTCCAACCAGCGTTGTCAGATTACGAGAGAAGCTCGTGATCTTTAGGCTACGGGATTGAGGAGGTCGAGCGCCACAGATATCTGCTGCTCACGGTCGTTGATACAGACTGACCACATGGTGATCGATTACCATTGACGAGGCTGTTGATGGGACAGCAGATCAAGTTGAAGTACTTAGCTCACTTCTGATCACGCGCTTGTGTGTACTAGAATCGTCCTGCACTCTTTTGGCACTAAGCAGCATCGTCGGACACAGCTAGAAGTGGGTGAACTTGTTGTTCCAAATAAGCTGAATGCCTTTCGGAATTCGTCACCTATTCTGAACAGCTCTCTACTCGCAGAACCACAGTGGGCGACCTGTGGCACCACATTCGCGACCAGGTGACAGCTGCTACCGAGGAGACCATCGGGTGCGCAAACTGTAAGCGGCCTGATTGGTTTGATGACATCAATGCGACGGTCGGCGCATTGGTGTCGGAGAAGAATGTATCATTTGCTGCACATGTTGCAGACCCCAGTGACTAGGGAAAGAGTAGTCAGTTTCGCAAACTTCGACGGCGATTGACCCGAGAGCTCCGTCGCATTAAAAATGCATGGTGGACGGAGAAGACGAAGCAGATGGAATGCTACACCGAACGCCGCCAACACAAGGAGTTTTTTTACTCCTTGAAGGCAGGGTATGGACCGAGATTGGAGCTTCTGAGGACACTGATCGATGGTAGTTCAGGCGCTAACTGCACCCAGACCGCAGACGTAATGCAGGTCTGGCGGAAACACTTTGACTGTCTCTTGAACAACCGTTCAGAGATCGACTGGCCTACATTGAACGGCGTGAAGCAGCACGATGTGAAGACGAGTCTGGCGGACACGCCGACACTGGATGAGACGCAGAGAGCACTTGCTCAGCTGCGAAACGGCAAGTGTGCCGGGGCCGACGGGATCTCGCCTGAAGTATTGAAACACGATGGACCCGCGTTGTTGACTGCGCTGCACCACTTGGTGCAACGCGTATGGATTAAGGAGGAGGTGCCTCCTGAGCTGAAGGATGCCCTTGTGCTACCACTGTACAAGGGCAAAGGGAGCAAGCAATGTTGCACGAATTATCGTGGCATCAACTTGCTGAGTTGTGTGGGCAAGGTGATTGCCCGAATCCTGCTCAACCGCCTCGTCAGTCAGGTTTTGGAATCTAATGTGGCGAAAGGGCATTGTGGATTCCGTTCGGGTCGCAGCACTATAGATATGGTGTTTGCTGCTCGTCAGTTGCAGGCGAAGTGCAAAGAACAACGCCAGCCATTGTACACGCTTTTTGTTGATTTCACCAAGGCATTTGATACGGTGAACCGCGAGGCATTGTGTAAGTTTGGATGCCCGCGTAAGTTTGTCAGTTTAATTGAAT